GAACATGAGAACTTATCGTACTAAGGCCCTTCCCTTATCTCTAACCATTAACTCTTTGAGCCAATGGTCATTATGGATAGCGCTATTAGGAATTGACAACTCCTCACTCGCCCTATTGCTGGAGTGCATGATACCATATTCATTTATGGAACGATAAGCATAGATCTCGATAGGGCTTCAGTCATAGGTTTGGTTGAGACTCATTGTTTGCTCATACACATACAAACTCGTTTCTCGTTATAGCAATAAACTTGTATTCATTAATAGCAATCAACTTGGTTTATCATTAAAGCAATGTACTTGTAATTACGAAAAACTTTATTTCAAGCACGATTTTATATACTTGTGAACTCACCAACTATTTTCATAGTTGACGCTCGTTTTACATGCTTTTTCAGGAAATAATTAGTAAGTGGATGTAAGGATTTATCATCATAGAGCATGCTGCATCGTGTTGAAGCTATTATGAAGTTATATTTTGAACAATGTTGTTTTGGAAAAACTTGTACTTTGTTTCTTTTAAGCTATGGGTTGTAAACTTTTAAATACTGCTATGATGATGTATCTTTATCTTTTGCAATGAAACTGTTATCGCTGTCATATCTTGCGTTTCCGCTTTAGCGGGGTGTGCCAGTAGATATACCCATGTATGCTATAATCATCGGTGAAAGTTACATAGAAGCGGTTCGCGTCTCTTGTGGTGGATCTAAAGGGCCCACACAACACTCGCACACGTCATCGTCCCTAAGGTCGAATGACTCCAACACTCCATCCTTTTGGAGTCGGGCTATGCATTTCTTGTTGACATGTCCAAGACGACAATGCCACAAGCATGCTTTATCCATACTATTGGAAGAATCAACACACAATACATCATTTCCTAAGTTATCTACAATCATCACAGTTTCATATATTCCATTAGACGGCAATGCTTCAAAATACAAAACACCATTAAGATAAGCATAAATAGAACCCTTTTCATTATCAAATGAATATCTTAAACCTTGTCTATAAAAACCATGAAATGAAATGATGTTTCTTTCCATATCTGGCGAATAGCAACACTTGTTTAAATCTAAACCTAATCCATTACTAAGCATTAAGGAATATACTCCAATCTTGGTGACAGGCGACGATCTTCTATTTCCCATGATTAGATTTATCTTCCCACGCTCCGCATCCCTATTTCTTCTTAGTCCCTGCAAATCAGAACATATGTGAAAACCATATCTTGTATCAAGAACCCAAGAAATAGAATGCGATGAATCATTAGATTTAATAGTGTAAATACCCGCGAAGGACGACTTGATCTTCCCATCCTTGATATCTTGCAGATATTTTTGGCAGCTTCTCTTCCAATGCCCTATCTTGTGGCAGTGATGACACTCTGCCTCCTTTGGGTTAGAGTTGGGTTTAGCAAAACCAACCTTGGTTCCACTAGAAGAGGTACCATCTTAGGACTTTCCCTTGTGGTGGCTCTTTGAGGGAGCCTTCCTCTTCTTACCCTTCCCTTGCCCTATTGCCAAGACAGGGGCAACAGCGGGAGTTGGAGTTGGTGCAACATACTTATCTTTGAGATTGCTCTCAGCAGTCCTTAGCAAGCGTTGAAGCTTGCTCAAAGTGACCTCTTCCTTATTCATGTGGTAGGTCATGCAGAACTGGTTGTAGCAGGGAGGCAAGGAGTGAAGGACGATGTCAATTTCCAGCTCTTCATCAAAGTTAACATTTAACTTTAGCAGGGGATCAACATATCTCTGCATCTTTTGTAGATGAGCGGTAAGGGACTCTCCATTACCCATTCGGGGAGTGATCATCGAAGTGATGATCTCATACCTTTCTTGCCTCGCACTTTGTGTTGGATTAGTGTCTAAGCCCGTAACTATATTTGGTAAGTACTTGACCCGGTTGTGCATGGTCCTTTTGAGTTGCCTTCACCATAGCAACTTGACAGGGAGATTTATGGAGAGAGAGAATATATTATGGTTTATTAATATATTATAAGAATAATATATTAAAGGAGAAATCATATTAATATTAGTCATAAATTAATTAGGAATTAATTTGGTGACTAAAAGAGATTAATTGAATAAAGGGAACTTAAACTGTCAAATGTGTGATAGTTAAATTTTGGGCTGGGAAACCTAATGGATTAAAGGAGTGAACGAAATTATGATGGGAGCCCATCATATTTTCGTCCATGGCCTGTATTCCAGAAGGTTCCATGGGCTGCTTAGAGTTTAAGCTGTCAATTAGGGTTTTGACTGAAACCCTAACTGCTCACAGTATAAATAGAACCCTTTGGCTACAGAAATTGGCTACACTAACCATAAGAGTGATAGAGCCGAATTCAAGAAGCCTCCAACCTCTCTCCAAGATCATCCTGTTGCTATTGGTGTTTGTAAGCCATTAGAGGAGTGACACTTGTGACTCCAAGCTTCAAAGACAAGAAGATTCAAGCAAGCAACAAAAGGTAATGATCTAGATCTGATTTGTTTCTTATAATTTCGAATTATTCTCAATAGATCTAGGTTTTGTAAGCCTTGGATGATTGCATGTACAATTAGTGAAACCTAGATCCAAGCATTAGGGTTTGTATGAGCACATAGGATGTTCTTTTGGCTCAAACCCAACAATGGTATCAAAGCTTTGTCTGGTTTCAGTTGTATTTGATGCTATATGTTTTTGTTCTTGCTTGAAAAAATCGTTTTTGTGCAAACTGCTTGTCTGACTCGGCGAGTCCCATTGTGGACTCGACGAGTAGGATAAACTCGACGAGTCCATAAAGGGACTCGGCGAGTCGGAGAATCAGACAGAGGCAATTTCGGGATTATTTTCTGTTTTTGCTTAAGGATAATTTCCTAAATCGTTTTAAACTAATAAAATCTGAATTTTATTATTTTTTGTCAATATCCTTAACAAAACAAGAGATAATTACCAATTATTTGAATAGTAAATTTCCTATTTGATAATATTTGATTATTTGAATTGATTTGGTGAATTATCTTGTAAATAATCTTAATTAGGTCAAATTTTGATAATCATTAAATTTAAAAGTATTTGCTATTTGATCCTTTGTGTTTTGAAAAGTTCAAAACTTGTCCTCAAGTTTTGAAATTTAAGTTTTATGATTGAAATGTTTAATTTAATCTATTTAAATTTCAAACCCTAGAATTTTACAAGTTTAAAATTCAACCTTATACTATATAATATTACAAGATTAATATATATATAAATATATATATATATATATATATATATATATATATATATATATATATATATATATATATATATATATATATACACTAGACGTTTACCTGCGCTAAGCGCCGGGCGGCAAATAGTTTCTTTCGGAAGATAGTTTTATCAGTGATGATTAGTTTTCTTTAGACGTGAGCTATTCATTGCGGCCATTTCGTAGACTATTTTTTGTTGAATAGTTCATTTCAACGGATAGTTACTTGCTAGGTGCATAATCATACAATACGAAAGAAGTTGAGTCTACATTTGGAATTTCATCTAATAGTTCGTACTTGATTTTACAATATATATAAATAACAACAATCTGAAATCATGTAGTTTTGTACATTTATAACATGTCCAATATATAAACTACACCAATCTGCAATCATGTTGCTTCATCTGCTAGCCCTACATTAAACATCAAATGAGCATCTAAGATACATATTTGAATTTTATACCTGTGCATCAATGTTTGTTACAGAAATGTGAGGTGTCATTGCTTGATTTGGCATGTATCTCCATGGATGATCCTTTGAAGCTGGTTGAGGATACCAAACATCTCAACTATACCCTAAAACACACCAAAAATAAATCATCAGTTGAGGGTCATGAATTCATGGGACATGAATTAATGTTAAAACATACCTCCAATGTGTCCACTATTACAACCATCAACAAAGCTTGTGTATCCATAATAGCACCTCCAGCATTGTTATCAATCAAAACCACCTTCTTCAATTTACCAATCCTTTCTTTATCAAACATTCCTCTGAAACATACACATCAATACCCCAAATTAGTATATAAACATCTTAACTTTGACAAAAGAAAATACTCACTTTGTTTTTTTTGTTAAAGGGGTATTGATGACAATAATGTCACACTTAGGAAGCATCTTATCGAGATCTTCCTCAAATGTTGCACCAATTTGATTCTCCAATTCCGAATCCATTTGAATTTGATCATGGTAAAGAAGATTACATTGTGTGTCCATCTCAACCATTATAAATATAGTTGTTGGTATTACAACTTTTTGTAGTAGAAATGAAAAATATATTCTCTCTTCTACAGTGAAGTGTGGAAAGTCCAACCAAGATGCCAAAAAGCCCAATAAAATCATTATTAGGACACTTTGATGGAAACACCACACATCCACACTTAATACAACATTCCATTTCAGGAACACAATTATTAGTATTGACATTTCTATAATTGTTGTACCAAGAACAAATTAGAGTTAGATGATGTAATAAATAGATCAACAAAAACTAAATTGTTGTTCTTGCATTTATATATCAAATTACAACAGTTTCTACAGTAAACATTGTCATAGAGATGTCAAACTAAAGTCAAATGTTACATCTAGAAGACTAAAATTATGGTGGATTCAACTAAATCACAAGTAATAGGGAAATAGAATTAGCAAACTCAAAGTGAGACGAAACACATACAAATATGAGAAGTTGTCAAAACTCACCTTGTTTTATAGCCGCCAACCAACTATAAAGATAAATATGATGCTTGTTGTAGGTCAGGTGACGCAGCCCATTCATATGCCCAATACCTGGTATAGATTACAAATTAGTAAGTCAATAAAATAAAAAAAATGAACAGATTTTAATACAAATTAATATGAAAATGTAAAAAAAAACCCTTGCTAGTGAAAACGATTGGGGTGTTTCTTCAAATCTGTTGTTCATGAAGAAATCAAACTGAAACATCATTCCAAACAAAACTGTGAAAAGAGAGGAAAATAGGGTGATGATTCCCTCCCATCTAAGCCATGATAACCAATAAGTCGTGTCATAATTGCCCATCATAGGCATTGCATGTAAGGTAAACACTACAGAATTTGAGATATAACTTCATATATGTAAACATAACCTAATATAAAAATGCCAGAGTTGTAGTGACACTCTCTAAATAGAATAACTCTAACCAAATAATTACTTGAAACAGAGTAAATGTTTGAAAATCAATGATGATTACCTTGGTAGAAGGAATAGGCCTACCAGGATTATTAGCCCTAACTCAATTGCAATGCTAAGTGCCCAGAGTTCCTAGTCTAGTGGCACAATGCTTGCAAAAGTGCCAAGGAACTCCACAATATTAACTTGAAAAACAACAGTAGACACCATGACACCAACGAATATCCAACTGCTCAACATGCCATGATTATAAAAGACCTACACAATATTAACTTGTGAATGTCCTGGCTGTTTACTTCATTAAAGACCTATACATACATAATTATAAAAAAAACTACTATAATGCACAAATAAATGAAAAAGTATGTTGCCATTTTCAATTACCTGACAAAAGACAAAGGTGTTAAAGATGAAAGTATTGAGGATTTCAGTTGAGTCCAAATTGAGAATGGATTTTCCGGCGAAATTCAAAGACGAAAAGGACAACCATTTGGTAAATACTTTGGCTAATAATATTTTGCCACATGGTCTTTGTAATAAAACTTTCGGTTCGTTTAACAGGTGGTCTATTCATGAGTCCATCATTTGGTGGTTCAGTGGCTAGGGCCAATGCACCTAAAGTGTCCATGATTAGATTCACCCATAGCAACTGCACAACGGTAAGGGGTGGAGACCCTGAAAAATATTCATATCCATGCAACTATGTAAGCACAGAACATGTGAGAAAGCAAAGAGTGACTAATAAAGAAGGCGATTGAACAAACCTGTAATGCAGGCTGAAACAAAATTAATCATTAGAGTAACGATGTTAACAGTTAACTGAAACTGAACAAACTTCTAAATGTTTATGTAAACTGCACGTCCCTATTTTGCTACTTTTACAATTGTTGCAAAATCATCTTCCAACACGATTACATCAGCTTGTTCTTTTGCAACCTACAGATGAGATGGCAGATGACTTATGACAGACATTAGCTTCTTCTTACCAATATATTATATATGGGATTGTTTTTTCGTTAAATTAAGTTTTTTATACTAAATTGACATGAATATGAGGCACAAACCAACCTCTGTTCCTGCTATACCCATGGAGAATCCGATATCTGATTCATGTAAAGCTGGAGCATCATTTGTCCCATCACCTGTGACTGCAACAACTTCAGACAGACCCCTCAAACGCTCTACAAGCTTTAACTTGTCTGTTGGTGATGATCTAGCCATTACCTGTAATGTATTTAAGGATTGTAACTCATTACTTGTCTTGGAGAACTAACCACCTATTCTCCTGAGTTTCAAAATAAAGGAAAAGAAAAAAAGGTTACATTTTGATCTAGCATCACCACGTTTTTTTGTTTGTACCTGAATTCTCGGTGCTAGTTCACGCTTTTCTGCATCTGATTTAGCTCAAAACACTGGCCCTTCAATGGCTAACCCACCTTCAGTCAGTATACCGCATTCCTTGGCAATGACTCGACCTGTGTTAATATTATCACCCGTAACCATACACACAGTAATCCCGACTGCTAAACAAATCTCCACCGCTTCCTTAACCCCTGGCCTAAGCGGGTCCTTAATACCAACAACCGCAATCAATGTATACCCACAATTAGGGTAAACTCAAAAATCGGGGATTGAGAAAAAAGTTATGCATAGTAAAGACTGAATAGTATCTGAAAAAATCAAGAATCGGCTTATAATTACCTTCAAGTTCTTCAATGTGCTTGACAATTCGCGCTTAGCCATCACTGATAATTTGAAATTAGGGTTTCGGCAGAGCCCTCTCAATCCGGTGTGGTCGTGAGGTGTGTGAGTTTGTAATCACCGTAAACGGGGACATACCTCGCTGTAGGATCTCGAATACACGATAATTTGAAATTAGGGTTTCCATTTCATTCTGATGGCGATCGAGAGAAAGAGAAAGAGAGGCGAGAGAGATCACTGCATCTTTGGTGGGGGAAGTCGGCAGCCGTGGACCTTCGGTGGGAGACGTTGGTGGAGATCACTGCATCTTTGGTGGAGACGATGAGAATTGGTTTGATGGCGACTATGTTTAGGAGATTAGGGTAAGATCCGTGTAGTGTGTAATACGTATATCATCCGTGTAGTGTAATACGTATAAGATTGGTTATATGCTTAATATTAATGTACATGAGGTAATATATGTTGTACCTCTTAATTTTCAAGAAATGGGCAATATCCTTAATAATATAGTAAAGATATATATATATATATATATATATATATATATATATATATATATATATATACATATATATAACTTAAAATGCTAGTCTTACCGTTAGTAGGCCTCATTCACGAAGCCGATCTATAAGGGGGTATAAGGTTATGCCCTATAAAATGGCCGTTTAATGGGTGTCCACTCTCACCCACCGCTTCCTTGTTTGGTGGAGGGTCGTTAGCTGAACGGGTAGGATAGGGCAAACCTTTCCTCATTAAAAGTATAATGAATCTATATAAAGTAACTAAATGTTTTTACAAAATTCCCAATCTTAGTTACTTTAGGCAAAAGTGAATTGATGCAATTTCATGAAATTACACTTTGTACCCTTGCTAAGGCGTTAGTGGAGCGTGTGTGGTTAACCGGCACACTAATTGGGTTCTAAGAAAAGGTGGCAAAGGGTGACTCATTGTTTGTCATAGTTCGATGGAGCGTGTGTGGTTAACCGGCACATTGAATAGGTGACTGTAACAATGAGGGTACCATGTATATTTGCATGGTTATTCACACCCGCTTTGTGATCCTCGGCATCCCAGTCATGAACTAGAGGGGCATATCGAGATTTAAACATGCCATTGAAAAGTTCAATGAATCTCAAAAGATCTAGGGGTTTTTAATACATTTAAAACTTAATCCTTTTCGTTTTTCATGGTGGAGAATTAGTGAATCGTCATTCACTTACCATCAAATTATTTGCATGTTAGATTACGGCATTCCTCTTCTAATATGTAAATAATGTTGTTGGATCCTAGCCCTAATTTCTCATTTGGGTGTTTAATTAGGGATTCCCTTCAAATCAAACTTTGTTCTTTTCATTCTCAGATGTCGAACATGAACAACAACAACGCTTACGGCTCGATTTCCTCTGGCTCATTCTCACTCATGAACTTGTGTGGGAGGGTGATATTTGACGGAAACAATTTCAATGATTGGATCTGTAACATAAGAATGGTCACCCGTTACGAGGACAAAGAGTATGTCCTTGACAAGGAGCTGAAGGAGATCGACATGAACACTGCTACTCACGAAGAGATCGCTGCCTTTGAGGCCCACTAGTGTGATGCTACGAAAGTCCATTGCATCATGCTAGTGACAATGACTTCCGAACTCCAAAAGTCCTATGAGGACATGTATCCCTATGAGATGCATCAAGACTTGATGGATAGGTACCATCAAAGTGCAAGGCAAGAGAGGTACGAGATCATCACTTCGATGATCACGACCAAGATGAGAGACGGAGAGTATGTCACTGCTTATCTTCAAAAGATGCAAAGGTATGTCAACCGCCTGCAAAAGTTGAATGTCGACTTCAATGAGGAGTTGGCAATTGATATCATCATTCACTCACTGCCTCCTTGCAACAACCAGTTCCGCATGACCTACCATATGAATAAGGAAGAGGTTACCTTGAGCAAGCTTCAAGGCTTGCTAAGGAGTGCTGAGAGAAATCTCAAGGATAAGTCTGTTGCATCAACTCCCGCTCCGACTGCTTCCCCTGTTTTGGCTATTGGGCAAGGGAAGGGTAAGAAGAGGAAGGCTCCCTCAAAGAGCCACCACAAGGGAAAGTCACAAAATGGTACCTCTTCTAGTGGAACTAATGTTGGTTCTGCTAAACCCAACTCTAACCCTAAGGAGGCAGAGTGCCACCACTTCCACAAAATTGGGCATTGGAAGAGAAGCTGCCCAGAATATCTGCAAGCCATCAAGGATGGGAAGATCAAGCCATCTTACGCAGGTATTTACACAATTAAATCTAATGATTCATCACATTCCATTTCTTGGGTACTTGATACAGGATGTGGTTTTCACATTTGTTCTGATTTGCAGGGCCTAAGAAGAGATAGGAATGTGGAGCATGGGAAGATAAATTTGATCATGGGGAACAGAAAATCGTCGCCTGTTACCAAGATCGGAGCTTACTCTTTAATGCTCAGTAGTGGACTAGGATTAGATTTAAATAATTGTTGCTATTCTCCAGATATGGCAAGAAACATCATTTCATTTCATGGTTTATATAGACAAGCTTTTAGATATTCATTTGATAATGAAAAGGGTTCTATTAATGCTTATCTTAATGGTGTTTTCTATTTTGAAGCATTGCCTTGTAATGGAATATATGAAACTGTGATGGTTGTAGATAACTTAGGAAATGATGTGTTGTGTATTGATTCATCCAATGATTTCGATAAAGCATGCTTGTGGCATTTCCGTCTTGGACATGTCAACAAGAAACGCATAGCCCAACTCCAAAAGGATGGAGTGTTGGAGTCATTCGACCTTAGGGACGATGACGTGTGCGAATCTTGTTTACTTGGAAAGATGACCAACTCACCCTTCACTAGTACTTGTTAAAGGGGTGAGGGTTTATTGGATCTCATACACACCGATGTGTGTGGGATCTTTAGATCCACCACAAGGGATGTGAACCGCTTCTATGTGACTTTCACCGACGATTATAGCAGATATGGGTATATCTAGTTAATCAAGCACAAGTCGGAAACCTTTGAGAAGTTCAAAGAGTTTAAACAAGAAGTAGAGAATCAATTAGGCAGGAAAATCAAGATGCTTCGATCCGATCGAGGTGGAGAGTACCTAAGTCTTGAATTCCATGACTATATCAAGGAATGCGACATCGTTTCACAATTGACGCCACCTAGGACACCACTGTTGAATGGTGTAGCTGAGAGGCATAATCGAACCTTGTTCGACATGGTTCGTTCCATAATGAGTCATGCTTCACTAGCTATCTCATTTTGGGGGTATGCCTTAGAGACTGCTGCCCATATCCTTAACTTAGTCCCTACGAAGAAGGTGATGGGTTTTATACAATAGAACATCATATGTACTCATGAAATTCATCCTTAACTTAGTCCCTAATGCTTGGATCTAGGTTTCTCTATTGTACATGCAATTCATCCAAGGCTCAAGAAACCCTAATCTAGCATATGTATATCGAAATTATCACATAAGAGGAGATCTAGATGATTACCTTTTGATAATGGCTTGAATCTTCAAGTCTTGGAGCTTAGAGTCACAAGTGTCACTCCTCTAATGGATTACAAACACCAATATCAAAAGAATGATCTTGAACAGAGGTTAAAGGCTTCTTGAATTCGGCTCTATAGCTCTTAGGAATAGGGTAAGCCGATTTCTGTAGCATAAGGTTTCTATTTATACTGTGGGCAGTTAGGGTTTCAGTCCAAACCCTAATGGACAGCTTAAACTCTAAGCAGTCCATGAAACCTTCTGGAATAAGGCCATGGATGAAAATATGATGGCCTCCCATCATAATTTCGTTCATCCCTTTCATCCATTAGGTTTCCCAGCCCAAAATCCAACTATCACACATTTGACAGTTTAAGTCCCCTTTCTTCAATTAATCTCTTTTAGTCACCAAATTAATTATTAATTAATCTATGACTAATATTAATTAAATAATATGATTTCTCTTATTAATATATTATTCTAATAATATATTAATGAATCATAACTAATCCTCTTTCTCCATAAATCATCCTATCAAGTTACTTTGGTGAAGGGAACCCAAAAGGACCATGCACAACCGGGTCAAGTACATACCAAATATAGTTATGGGCTTAGACACTAATCGAACAGTTTCCCACTTGGATAAGTCTAATAACTAAATTTACAAGTATGACTTCGCAATCCGATTAGCAATCGTAGCTCTCAAAGACGCTGTCGAACTATGATCTTATCAGTAACCTGTCCTTTAGATAAGGGATCATATATTCCTCCATTCTAGATATCGTACAGACTGGGACATGGATTTAAATCATTCTCTCTGTCTATACGTTGTTTCCCGACTTCCGATTTATGACAACTGACAACAGACTACAATTGAACACATCAACTTAGTCCCGGCTTGGCCAAGCGCTTAGGATGTCATCACTAAATCATCGAGGGGCCCACAGATATCACTTTTATCCCACTTTGGGTAAAAGGAACGGATAAACTTCGACTCAATGCTCGCCTGTACCCACTCACCAAATCACACACAACAATATGTTTTATAATATCAAGTTACTGGTATGTTTACATATTATCAATGTGCAACCGACTCGCAAGATATAACTCACACATCTCGGTTTCAAGAATATAAGATATTACCGTCTCACCAATCACTCGTGATAAAATCCATGAAGCGATCCAAGTGAGCGTGGGTTTAATCCAATACTCTAATCTTATAGGAGCACTCATGAATTCTGTAGCAAACTTGTGCTATAACTAGACGCTTTAGTCAATCTACAGACGAATTCATGATAGTCTTCTTTCATACCTACTTCCAAAGTATGAGCGACTGTGGAGGGTTTAAATAATCTTATTATTCGGGAAGTCAAAACATGCAAAGTGAAACACAAGAATAATACTAATCCTATATGGCCCCATATATAAATAAAACACATTTTATTTAATTACCATATTGATTACTCATTATTTGTTGTTTCGGGTAATTCACTTCTTACTTGAATTATAACGACAATTGTCCCATGCTCTTAGCATGCACACTATGTTTACCTATGGTCCTTACTTTGTGAAATAGTATAATTGAATAACATTTTCAATCACACTCATTTCATAATTCCCAATCCTTACCACAAGTGTGAGAATAACAAATTCTTGCCACTTATAGAATATGTTAGATTCTAACATTTTATGCAACGGTCCTTTCGTAATATCATAGCGCCAAAGTCACCAAGACTTTGCCAATGAAATTACAAAGTGAACTATTGGAGATTGTTACAAGACAATTCCATAGTCATGAAGTCTCTCATTCAAAGTACATTCCTTTGAACATCCTTCTTGCATAGAAGTTTCTAATCTAGACATAGATTCTTAACGTTCAACTCTCAATAAGGAAACATTTC